AAATATTTTAATTTTCATTTATGAGTGAGTTGGTGACACCAAAAAAGAGCGCAGAAAATAAGTAAACGGTCCAAATTCGTCTGGACAGTGTCTGTGCAGGACTTTTTGCCAAACACATTAACAGAAAGGCCACTAATAAATGCTTGTAATCGATCAGTCAAAAAGTAGTTTTGAAAATGTAAAAGGTTGTTAAAATTAGGCTCGTTGATTAAAAGGGTTAGAGTCCAGACAAACCTTTCATTTTTATGGTTGCTTAACAGCCTAGAGATGCGACACCACTCTCTCACACATACCATCTATCCACCGGATAATTATATAATTATAATATTATATATAATTTTATAAAATTAATATAATATAAATTATTTTTTAAAATTTATTTACAGAATATGTCTAAAAATTTACTTTTTGATTAATTTTTTTAAACATTGACTGCTGAATTGAAATTTTATTTATATAAATTATGTATATCAATTTTTATATATTTTTATATAAATTAATTAAAAAAATAAATTTTTAGATAAATTCTCAAAAAAAAAAAAAAAAAAACTTGCAAAAGAGTTTTCTCTAATTTTATTATCTAATAATTATGTACTTCACTACACATAATTAAATTTTGTTTCATAAAAAAACCATCGTTACAAAGTCTAAGTGGAAGAGATGCTACCTCAGTTTAATAAACCTATGAGATCTCACCATTTTCAGAAAAGAATTCCAATGCTGGCTACTTAGAAATTGCTCGTATCTATGAGGGACTGCTAGAAACAAAACTCGAATATAAAAATGGATAATTAAAAAGTTCAAATCTTTATAACCGAACCAACTACATATTATGAACGCTACCATTAACTTTAATTTTAAACCATATATAACTGATAATAGTATATCTACAACGAGACAATAGAATTTGGAACACTTTAATGAGACTACCTTTTCACTCATACCATATATTGGTGATTTTACTCTTTTAAAATAATTATCGTTATTTGAATTTAAGTTTATTTTAAATTAATTGTTATTTTTTTACTTAAATGTTTTTTTCTTACTTTAATCTTATTATTATTTATTTATTTTGATTAATTATTCTATCACAAAAAATCTTACTTTATCTTTTACCTTTTTTCCTAAAGATAATATAAATAAATATATAAATTATTCTAAATCTTTAATTTTAAAAAAATATAAAAAAAATAGTTATTTCAGAATAAAAAGAATAATACATTTTCTATATATAATGAGGTTAGGGCAGCGCAAGTAGTCTTTCAAAAAAAATTCTTTTTTGGGAAAGATTGGTCTAAAAATTCAATTTATAATTATTTTTAAAAATCAATTATTAAATTAAATATTATATATCAATTTTTAAATTAATCTAACATTTGTAACTTTTTTTATTAAAAAATTTCATTTACTAACATATCTTTAATGATGTTATATTTATGTGATTAACAAACTACTTAAACTCATTAAATTAATATAAAAATTGATATATATAATCTGCATAAATAAAATTTTTAATATAACAATTAATTTTTAAAAATATTATTTAAAATATAATATTTTAATCTTCCGTAATATACAAAACACTTTTCTCATATATACATATATATGATATAATATCAAAACTTTTTTTATCAATACCATCTATAAGGTTAATAATTAACGGAGGCGTTGCAAAGTTGGTGCTTGCAAGTAAATTAAGGAAGTACTTTTTTTTACCTAAAATGGTAAAGCAAGTACCGAAAATGGTTAAGCAAGTAGTCATTGTGCCGTTTACTTTGGCCACAAATATACTTAAGACTCAACCAAAAAGTCTTCTGCTCCTTTTCTTTTACTTAGAAAGTCCAAACATCCGCTGGTCAGGGTGCGTGGTGTCAGAGACTTAATTAAAGAGTAACTGTAAAACTAAAACAAAACAAAAATTAGGAATAGAAAGTAGTTCTCTCTATATTTCATTGTATTTGTCATTTTAGAAGGTCTTGTTCTTTCTTCTTCTTCTTCTTCTTCTTTTTTTTCCTTTTATTATTGTTTTTTAAAAATCCATATGCTACTAATATTAGCAGGAATTTTTTTTTCTTAATATTATACTCAATAGTTTGCTAACCTCATTAAAACGCAAAAAAATATCATTACCTAAATTATGAAGACTAGTTTTGGTACTTTATAGTTACATGTCTATAATCAAGGCTAATCAATTAATAATTTTCTTAATTCTTTTGGGAATACTTGAAATGTAGATTAAAAAAGGAACGAACGAAAATGGTACTAAATAGTCCCTGCAGCTCGGAAACAAAATTTATGAAACAAAAACCAAAATAATCTTAGTTTGGAAGCTAACACAACTTAAAGTGATTCAATGGTTATATCTTCTTAATTTATGTAAACATAAACAATTTTAAATTTAAGTTGTATGATCTACAAGTATTAAAAGAAATTAAAGAGTTAGTTTTTATTATATAATGCAATACTAATAAAAAAAATCTTTTGGAAGTTGAAGATCAAAAAAGAAAAGAAAGGTATTTTCCATTTGAACTAGCTAAAAACATGTTAGTAGGGGTTAAAAATAACATTATTAATAGTAAAAATGTTATTTTTAACCTGAAAAGTGAATTCAGATGGAAAATAGTTTTTTAAAAAAAGAAAAGGGGAATTCGGAGTTAAAGTATATTGGAAGCAGATTTGTGGAAGTGCGTGGAGGATGGTAGATGGGAGTAGTGGGTTTGGAGACACAGAAGGGTATAAGTCAATTCACTTTTCCTATCAGCACTTCAGAATCACACGAGCACAGCTAACCCTTTTTTTCTTCACTAAGTTATAGAGGGATGATTTTGTTGAATGGGGTTATAGGGAAGGTTGTTACGGAAAATGCACATGCACCCTTTCTTCCGCCCTCCCAAAAGTCTGTGTCACCCGTGAGTCAAAGCTCGTGACCTCTCACGTGCATGTCAACGTAACAGAAAAGGGACAACTCTCACACGCTTGAGACTTCTGTACTTAACCTTTATCTCTATATAATCTGGTTTGGACCTTGCAAAAAACAAGCACTACTCCACCATGCCTTTTCAACTCTCTTCCTACTGTGAGTTGTTTGAGTTCATTCCTTTATCATCTTGATCTTTAATTATATACTTTGATTGTTTTTTTTTTTTTTTTTTTTGAACGGATACATACTTTGATTGCTCTTGTTCTTGTTCATTTTCGACTTTCTTATTTTCTTTTCCTTTGGTTTTAGCTAGCTCCGTCCACCAAGAAAGAAATATGCATAAGGGATTGGTTATGTATCCGATGATGGGTACACTCCAATTACGGGTGAGTGGATTCCATGCTCTGCTTGTCAAGTGAGCAGTTTTTTGCGGATTAACCTTTGTTTCGTTGTCTGTTCGACCTTGAACGTATCGTTTTTAGAGATGCTAAATATGATATACAAAACCCTAGTCTCAATTGCATTAGGATTAATTAAATGAACTGAAATCACTTTTGCATCTATCTTTAGAGCTAATCCCATACTTTTGCTTTGCCCTCTTCCGTTTCTTTCCAAAACCATCTACTTCTTCAATATTTTAATAAAAAAGAATCAGAATCGCGAGACTTTGAATTAATAATATACTCCATTGATTCCACAAGAAAAGACACATATGCATGCATATGCCATATGGGTATACATTAATTTCCAGTGTAAATTGGCATGGTAGGTATATATAAATTAACGTTGGAAACATTACGGAAAAATTTGTGGTTTCCATTAGGGAAGTAAATAGTTCATTTCTGACTTTTGGGTGCATTGGAAGTCGTGAGAAAAGGAAATAAGACTAGGTAATATGATCCATTTATATTTATGTTGTTTGGGTGTACAATGGACCATGAGGTAGCATCTGGAATTGTCTATGGAGTTGCATTTTCAGGATCTAGAGCTAGCTATACATAATAACAGACCCAAGATAGCCAATAACATCCAAAAAATATAGTTGTTGGGTAAACTTATAAATTTACTTTTAATTGATTTTAGATTAGATATCCACGTAGTATGATAATATAACCAAGTTTCCCGTTGACAGGGTATACACAAAGCCCAACGAGGCTGGGTGCATTGATCTCAATTAAAGTTACTAGTTTGGAATTTCTTTACCACTAAAGCATTGATATCAACTAGCTAGGTGCATATAGAAATTAAATTCCTAATTCTTAGTGTCTAAAAAAACTTGGTGATGAATAGATTTTGATCCATCCCTAGGGACAATACCTAACCTAATTAATACTAAGTGGCACTAGTAATTATTTAAGTTTAATTGGGGGGAAAAAATTAGAATATAAGAGATAGAAATGTTAGATGTGCAAAGTTTTTCATTTTTGTTCGTACTCCATATATATTTATTATTTAGCATCGAGTTGAACAAGAAGAAGAAACTATTTGGCATAGTGTCTTCCCAGTTAAAAAAGAAAAGAAAAGAAAAGAAAAGAATAATGAAGGTACCTACATAACTTTTATTTTATAAAACCCAATTGGGAAAAAATAAAAATATGCATAAGGACAGGGTAGATATGTAAGATATTCCATAATGGTACACTTGGATATGGTAATTTGGTAAGCATGTTGTAAACAAAAATACGTTTTTCTTTTGGCCAAAGTGAAAATACTTTGACCAGGGAGTTGATAATTTGGGAGGGTAGTTGTTTTTGTTTTGTTTTTTTCATATTCTGAACATAGGACGGGAGGGTAGTTGTTCAATAATTTTTTTTAATAAGTATAAATTTTAAAAAATAAAAAAAAATTTAAATTAATATTATATTAATAAAAGTAAATCTTTAAAATTGATTACAAATTAATCAGCCCGCAAGGTCAGGGGCGGGTGGCTGTTCAAACTTCGACCCAAAGTCAGATGGAGTACTGCCTAAGGAAGTGCAATCACTGGCCCGTAGAATTAAGCATGATATTGGGAAGTGCAATGATTGTATTTTTTTTATTATTTCCTTGAGTATTTTATTTTATTATTTGGATTATATTATGTTATAAAATATTAATTATTAAATTAAAAAAATTTTATTATTAAAAAATTAATTTTTATTTAATAATTAATATTATACAATTTAAATTTAAATTACACAATATGTTTTCCTGCTTACTGTACACTGAAAATATATAGAAATGTGTCTATTTCTGTTTAGATGGCAGAGACTTGTATGAAATTAAGCATTAAATGATAAATTACAAAAAGCCCTTCTCATTTAGGGCCTGTTTGGCTTAGTTTTTTTGAGTTTCAGTTTTTTTATACTATTCATGTTTTCTAAGTTCAAATTTCTCTCTTAAAATCTTATATTTAAATTTTTTTTTAATATTAAAAAAATCTCAAACAATAAAAAGTTCAAAAGTTTCAAACTCTTGCTTTTTAAAGTTTTTTTTACTCATTTTTTACTCACTTTTTTCTATCTTTAAAAGCAAGTTTTAAATTTTTCATTTGATAAAAATTTAAACTTATCACTCATAAATAGTACAAAAAAAAGTAAAAGTTTTAAGAAATTCCACCAAACAGGCCTTTAATGATTTAGAGTAAGTTTGATGAAGTTTGTAAGTGCTTTAGTTTTTTAACACTATTCATGTTTTATAAGTTTAAATTTTTCTCTTAAAAACTTATATTTTTTTAACTGTTTTTTAACTTTAAAAAAATCTTAAATAGTAAGTTTTGAAAAGTTTTAAATTTTTACTTTTTATAAACTTCATTTTTACTTTTTTTTTACTCACTTTTTTCTATTTCTAAAAGCAATTTTTAAATTTTTTCTCCAATAAAAATTTAAACTTATCACTCATAAACAGTAAAAAAAATAAAAACTCCAAGAAGCTCCATAAAACAGGCTCTTAATAGTCTTGATTTTCCAGCTATTTATAATTGAAATTAAAATAGCATATTCTTAAAAGGGGCAACATTGTTGTTACAACCTCAATTATTAATATTATTTTTTTATTTTAATTAATGATATATTTTTCATTTATTAAAACATAAAAAATGTAAAATTAAAAAAAGTGTAATATAAGGATATAATAAATAATTATATTAAAAAAATATAGCATTAACTAATTAGGATACAACAATAGCCCCATTCTCTTAAAAAGATTCTAAGCATATAATTTTTTATTAATTTAAATAAAAAATATAAAAATTAATAGTAATTTAAGCGTCGCTATAATGTAAGTTAATTTAATTTTTTTAAATGGGTTTACATTTTAAAGAGGGAGGATTTGAATCTAACTCTTGAGTTGGAGGTGCACATCACTACAAGACTTATAATTATCCGGCCACAAAGTCTAGGTGCATAAGTTAATTTAATTAGATAATT